AAGTGTTGCACGTCGAAGTTGCTAAGGCTTGCCGGTGGCTGCAACCAGCTGTCTCGCACTCTTCACCGGGCCGCACAAGAGGTGAAGGCGTGGTGTCACTTTGTGCTCATCGTCATGCCAGAAACGTAGAACTTGCGTAGGCAAAGATCCCACTGCCCGCGGCTGGCCTCGCGAAGTTCGACTGGTTTTTGTCAAGGTCGGACACTGTGACACACGGCAACTCAGCAGCATCCAGCAGCGGCAGGTCACCACCACGCCCGGGCACAGCAACGAGCGAGCTGCGTTCTCAAGGGAAGACTGAAGACGTTACTTTCTGGAAGTCGAAGTATGCATTCGTGCCCAACTGTCTGCATTCCTGAGTCACCTGGCTGCTCTCCTCACGCCCAAAGGATTGCGGCCCAGGACAGGGAAACACGGGGACGCCCGCTGTCAAAGTTACGACGTCTCTCCAAGCACACAAGAAGCTTTGCGAAGCAGTCCGAAGGCCTTGAACAATATCACGGCTTTGAAGCAGGAGTGCCCCAGCGGACGGCCCCGGCATCTTCAACTCTGGGACCTTGCATGAGAAAAGGAAGATCTCCAGAGCTGTTTATGTCAGAACCGTCTTTCTGCGAAAGAGTTTGTTGATAGCGAAGCATCTTCTCAGCTGATGTCGGTATCTCCCAATCGTGGCAGTCTCAGCAGCCTAAAATGGGCCCCGTTGCCCAATTGGCCCAAAACGATCTTGTGCCACCCCTGCGCCATGCTGTTCAGATTTTCCGCCCGTGCCCGTGCGAGCCGCAGACAAGGTATTTCTTCTTCTCTCCAGCATGGCAACGGCCAGCTGTGTTTCTACGATTTGCATCGCTTCACTGGTTCTTTTGATCTGTATCTCTGCACTGATTAGGGTAACCTACCGGATGCCGCTGAAGCCTTCTATTGAAGCACGTGCCGCTGTGGCGGCGCCCGTCTGCAGCGGGCCACGGCTGCTTTTTCACGTAGGGCCAGCCAAGACAGGAACTTCGGCCCTTCAGCATTTTCTGTTCACGGAGCAGCAGTGGCTTGAGCACTCCTGGAATGTGGGCGCGGCGATGAACGGTGTCAAAACTGGACAGTGTCTAGCTTGGCACGTGGCCTGCAAATTTGGGCACGAAGAATCTTGTCGAAAGGCTGTCAAGAGAATGCGCCTGGACGAACTTAATGTGACTGCACAACTAGAGTCACTAGAATCTTGCGCAGCCTTGATCCTCAGTCTCATAAAGACAAAGCTGCGGAGACATGCCTCGGTGGTTTTCTCGTCCGAAGCCTTGGCACGACTCGATGCAAGAATGTGGCAATACCTCAAAGCTATGTTTCAGCAAGACAATGACAAGCCGTGTTTATCGGCTGTGGTTTTTCATCGGGCACCAGTTGATTGGCTGGCGTCACTGTGGATGCAAGTTGCCAAACAAGAGAATGCGCCGAGATCATGGATGGAGTTTCTCGGGCAGATCCGGCAGATCGGAAGTAGAGACGGGGGACTCGTCAGACCAGATGCGGAGGGAGACGTAGACCTCCAGCTGCAGCTGCTGAATATATTGATGAATGCGTTCCCTCAAGCAGTGGACGCAGCTTCTTACGATTACCTGAAGGAAGTGAACTGTAGCACTGCTGCTTTCCTCATTTGTAACGCCACCCTCCGGAAAACAGGTCAGACTTGGGAAATCTGCAGAGATGCGATCAACAGAAAGGCGGCTGCTAGTATACACGTGTCACCACCCCTGGCAGCAGTGGATGTGCTAAGACTGGCACGCGCAGTGAAGAACGCCACTATGACTGCAACACAGGCGAGGCTTTGCAAGAACCTAACCATTCCTCTTGCGGGGTCACCCAAGGTTATCAAGGTTGCAAGTTCTTTGCCTCTGAGCTGCGCTGATCTTGACGATTTCTTCAAGCCAGAGACCGATACATGGTTTGTGCGCACTCAAGCGCAGCGGGCACAAACTAGGTCAAAGCCATTCTGCAGTGTCGCAATTGATCGTCTTGAGCCGGAGCATTGGCAATTGATCGGTAGTCTGGTGCAAGGTTGCTGAGATGTTTAGGCTGCAAAGCTGAATCATGTGGAGATCATCAGAAAGTGGTTTCACGAATCGTGAGTGGTTTCTGATCAGACAATGCCTGTAGAGCTTAAACAGGGCCCCGTTACAGATTATGCCCATCCATCCGAAACTCCCGCTAAGCTCAAATCCTGCGGTCATTTTCCGACCCTAAACCCTAGACCAGGTGCTGGCCTTTACTTCCAATCTAGAGGGCCTCCAGACATCTCGAACCCCACCTCCGGTGCAAGGAAAATGCGCTTGCAAGTGGGAGCCCATGTTTGAGAAAGGAGTGTGTCTGCCGGATAGTCTCGGCTTGAGCAGAGCTATGAACATCAGAGTACCTTTATAAGCCACTAGGAGAATTCAACTTTCTGGGCCTTCCTTTTTGATCCGCATTTATATATGTATCTATCTGTATATATGGTCCGGCGTGTTGCGTTCCCGGCCCCCCCGCTATGGTATGTTCTATAGTAGGGGTGGGGGAGGGGGGCTGGCGTGTGCGGAGAAGGGTCGGGGCGGTTGGGTGGGGTTGCGGCCAGGGGCCGGGTCTTGCGTAAATGCAGGCTTTAAGCTTGAAGCAGAATATAAACCGTCTTCTTAACTAACCTACACCCAATTTCAAAAGCTTGAACTAAACCCCAAATCCCACAACCACACCATAGGGGGGAAGAGGGACCCCGCTCTCCATCTAGGGGGGGGTTGGATTTTGGGCCATGGACCATGGGGGTGAATTTGGGCATGTTGTCTCATGAGTGCCGCCGGCACTGCACTATATTTGGCCCAAGGGTTCTGAGTAGAGTCTCACTGCACGAAGTCGTATACCGTGCGGTTGAGCAAAAGGTTCGGCCAGCCCTGCAAGCTGTAGCCTCTCTCGCTTAGGGTTAGGCAAGCTTGTAGCGCCCCGTACACCTCAGCGTGGTAGCGGAGCTCCCCAGGATCCCGGAAGAGAGCCAGCTAAAGGTGGCAAGTTCCGGTAAAGACCGGAAGCTTCTCCTCAGAGAAGGCACCGGACAGAGATCCGGGGAGTATCCAGAGCCATGGAGGATGAAGCCCAATACTATGACAATGGCTGGGCCGATGATGATGATAACACGGCCTATGCGGTGAATTCAAACAAACATCTCAATGAATTACAGCGACTCTCGGCATTCCAGCAGGTGACGACCAAAGTACCACCCTCCTACGATGGTAGGGGCAGCTGGTTTACCTACGAGGACGCAATCGATGATTGGTGTGACATCACAGAGCTGGAGAAGGAAAAGCAAGAACCGGCGCTGCGAAATCGTCTTGAAGGTGATGCTGCGATCTACAAAAGATTGCTGGATAGGGAGAGACTGAAGGATGCCAACACCGGCGTGCAGTACTTCAAGTCTTTTCTGAGGCCCCTTTTTGTCAAGGTCTATCGTTTCCAGCAGTTCATGAACATCCACCGAGGAAATGGAGACATTCTTCGCTGGATGACAAGATTTCAGCTCAGTCTGCAAAGGATGAGAGATTCATGGAATGATCTCTACAATCCTATCAAGGATGTTGCGAATCCTGAAGTAGCAGCTTTTCTTCAAGGACAAGGACTTACTCAAGAACAATTTGATGAACTTGGTGCTGATGAAGTCCTAAGGCGAGTCAATGAAAGACTTCCCCAAGCTCATGCAAGAACAATTCCCATTTCAGAGAATTTGGTTGCCTTGCTATTTGTAGCTTTGGCAGACCTTACACAGGATCAACGGCAAGTTCTGACTTCTTTGATGACGCTTCGGAACCTCAGCCTTTCAGAATACCGTCTAGAGCAGCTCAGGGACATTTTCCTGGAGATTTTCTGCACGACGAAGACATCAGTAGACAATCCACTCCTGGCGCCTTCAGGATTGTCAGGAAAGAGAAGCTTCCTCGTCATCGAGGAAGGATACCTCGAAGACAGCTACGGCTTTTGGTGCGAAGACGACGATGACGGCACCGAAGGCTTCTTGGACGCCTACGAAGACTCCTTTTGGGTGTTCGATGAAGAGAACGAATCCTGGTTCCAGAGGAGATTTCAAGGAAGAACAGTCCGTAAAGGAAAGGGCAAAGGAAAGAGACGCCGAAAAGGCGGCAAGGCGAAGGGCAAAGGAGGCCGTCGCTTCTTTCGCCGCAAAGGCAAAAGATCTCATTATACTGCCCAGGACACCTCGGAATCGTGGCAAACAGACAACACCTGGAGCGACAGCACGTGGTGGTCCAATGACAATAGCTGGTATGAAGCCTGGCAAGGCGAATGGCATCAAGAAGGAGATGAAGAGTATTTTGCCTTCAAAGGAAAAGGAAAGAAAGGAAAAGGCAAGAAAGGAAAAGGAAAAGGCCATGGGAAAAATGGAAAAGATGGCGATCAACAAGCCAACATGGCCGAAGATACTTCCAAAAATCAAGGACAATCAACCTCTTCAATTTCCAATCCTACACCTACCATAGGTAGTACCTTCTTCGTGATCGGTTGCAAGACAGAGGAATTGGAAAGCCCTGTCCCAGCAGAGGTATCCAATGATTTCTGCTGTGCAACTCACGATGAAGAGGAAAGCTTTGTCTCAACAAAGGTATCCAGAGAGTCTAGCTGGACAACTGAAGGAAAATTGGAAAGCTCTGTCACAGCAGAGGAATCCAATGAATTTAGTTGGACAACTAATGACGACACTCTGGGCTACCTTGTGAAGGAGATGCAGCCAACACTTGCGGTCCTCGACCTCGGTTGCACTCGCGCAATGGTTTCGAGGCAGGGCGCGCAAGTTTTCATGGAGTATGTGGACCAGCATCCACATTGTGGCCTGTGGTACAAGCGTAAGGAATCGATCTCTCAGTTCTCCTTCGCCAATAGCCAACAAGCTAAGTGCAAGGAAAAGATCGTGATCTACATGTACGACAAGGATTACGCTGAGCAGGCCACCGAATTCGACATTGTGGAGCAGGGTAACGTTCCCTTCCTCATGTCACTTCCGCAGATGAGAAACTTACGTTTTCGTCTTGATCTTTCTCCTACAAAGGCCATTCTCAACAGTTCTCCTCTAGGAATTAAGAACCTTGAGCTCAACATATCCAAGAGTAGTCATTTGGTTTTTTGACCTCCTGGATTTGGCTTCGTTTATGTGGAACGTCAAGTTCCCTCGAACCCATGTGAGCTTCTTGGTCAACAGTTCCATCAACTACGAGTTGAGCAACTGCACCTCGGCTGACGCTTTCGCCGTCGAGGACGAGTGGGTCTTGGATGAAAGAGAAATGAAGATGAAGTTGACGAGGATCCACAAGAAAGCACGTTCGCAAATTTTTGTCCCAGTTCAATCAACTGTACCTATTCCTTTTGAATACTTAGATTCCCAAAGGGAAACTAGTTTCGACTTTTTCGATGGTTCAAAGGATAGTCAGGTAGATGACTGGAAGAGTACACTGGGCAAAGCCCAGCATCGTACTGAAAAGCAGTGGAAAGGCAGAACTGTTTTCAAGATCTTACCGGGTGGACTTGAGCGTAGGTCGACGAAGATCTCTGTTAGGAGTACCGGGCCGAACAGACGCGGTAACCCGGAAGATCAAATCACCGGAAACTCATCGTCGTCAGGTGCCAAGAAATTTCAAGCACCAACGTCCAGGATTAGGAAGAAGACTGAGGGCACTCCTGTTGCTCCTCCTGGACGTGAGAAGGTTGGAAGCGGTCCTTCAGGATCGGAACCGAAACCTTTCTCCATGTCAGATCTTGAGGACGATGAAAAGGATCAGCAAAAATCTGAAATGCCAAAGATGGCTGACCTGTTTCCAGACGAGCCTGTACAGGCACCCGGAAGGGAAGACACAGAACCCAGGCGGATAGATCTGCCTCTTCCGGGACAGGAAGTGTCACAGGCGACACCTGCCTTCAAGAAGATGCTGGAGCGTCTGAGGAATGAAGTGGAACTTTACAAGCTTCATGTTAAGCATTACCACATGAGCTCCACGCAATTCAGGCGACGTACCTCGATGCTAGGACTTCCGGACGACATCTACGAGAAGTACGATCGCATCTTGAAGGGTTGCAAGGTGTGTAACACTTCAGTGCCTAGTCCGCCTCGAGCCAGAATTTCTGGACTCCGAGCTTCTTCTTTTGGTGACTTGGTTTTTGTTGATCATGCGGAAATCAACTTAGGCCAAAAGAGTTACCTTGTGTTGTTGATGCTTGATGGAGCCACTAATCTTTTGTGGGCTACGGCACAGGCTACTCTGGACTCATCTGAAACCTTGAACGCGTTCCGAAATTGGACTGAAGAAAATAATTGTATTCCTAAAGGAGTTGTTGGTGATACTGCCTTTTTCACTGACGTTTTCATGGACTATTACAAGTTTCATGGAATTACTCCATACCCGTGCGGTTCCCGCACGCCTTGGCCTAACAGGGCAGAAACAGCGGTTCGACTTTTCAAACGATCATGGGCCTTGATGGCAAAGTCTCTTGTTGAAGAGGACATCATGGAAAAGGTCACCGTCCGTCAGGCAGTCAAGAAGGTGGTCTGGGCGCGTAACTGTCAGTTGACTGTTTCGGGTTACTCGCCACTTGAGATTGCCACTGGTCGGAGACCCCCTGATCTGTTTGATGTTGAAACTGCTAATCCTGAACGCCTGTCGGCCAAGCCGCTTCATGAGGACGAGTTGGACTTGAAGCTTCAACGAATTGCATTGCGCGCTCACCAGGAAGCTCGTCAAGCGATGGATCTCCGTCGAGACCTTGCTAGACGAGTTATGCCTTCTGATGGACCTTATGCCCCTGGAGACAAGGTCTTCTTTTGGCATAAGGATGAATCCAAAAAGAAAGCAGAAGGAGCCTGGATTCGTGCAAAAGTTGTGTCGCAAGAAGGTGCCATGGTCACAGTTCAGACACCTAAGGCTATTCACCGAGTGAATCAGTCAAAGGTAAGACGTGATCATGATGAGTGGCATGATGTTGCAATTCCTCTTGATCCTCCAAAGGCCCAAGAGAAGGAATCCTCAGAAGCTAATTTTTGTTGCGAACACGAAGTCTGTTATCACATGCTTGAATCTGGATAGTGTGATTTTCTTGAGATCGCTCCTGTCATCACAGGAGTGAGTGCACAAGTAAGCAGAGAAAGTTGCAAGGTTGCACCTCCAGTTATCATGGGTGACTTGAGCAAGAAGAAGCTTATAGCATACACTTGGAAGGTTCTTGAATCTTCCAATCCTGATCATGTTTTGCTCTATGCTGAAGTTCCTGATGCCTGGAAACCTGATAAGGTAGCACAGAGAAATTTCTTCTCTTTGTGTTACCAGGTTTTCCGCTGGCAAGTTCAGCGAGGAAAGCATGCGACTGTTGTTGCTTCTGCTCTTGCGCCTGTTTGGTTTTCACGACGCATGAGAACAGTCACAAGGATGAGTGAGGTTCATTCTTCTACAACTCACCTTGGTGGCTATGAAACTTGGATTGTTTCGAACTGCGTTGATGGTGCTTTTGAAAGGATGAAGGAGATTCCAGGAACTTTCGTTCCTGATCTCGGTTGTTTTGATGCTCGTTTTGTCGTGGCCTTTACAACTTGTCTTCTTGGTCGGATGCACTCTGACTTTCGTCAGAGTTGTCTTGTTGAAGATTTGCTTGAGGACATGAGTGACGGGCAAGTCTGCGGTCTTTGTCTGTGTGCTGACCGTTCAGGTGAAGCATATGCATCTTTTCCTCGTATGAATTCTACAAGTGCAGGAAACACCCTGCTTCCAAGGCCACTGAGGTTTGTGCTGCCGCAGAGATTTGTCACCAGTTCTCTGGTGCAAACACTGAGGCACATCGATGGACTTCGACCTGGTGTGGAACTTGAGATTCATACTAGTGATTCTAAGGATGCATCTTCCCTTAGGTCACAGCTCAAGAACGTCAGAATGATGACTCTTCCTCACTTAGAGTTTGAGCATTGTTCGGTTTACCGGTTTACCGAGGTACGCTAGGCAAGACCTTGCCCGTGATTCAGAGAAATCCTGATGCTGTGGTTTTGTTGTGGCATCCTGGTAGTTATGAACAAGTGTTTTTTTTTACGTTGGGACAGTTGATCCCCTGTTTGAAAGATATACGTCCTACGGAGTGGTCGTTTATTGTCTTTTGGAATGAAAGATCTCACGGGGGAGGAAAGAACAAAAGTCCTGACGTCAACATGGACATTACGGATCAACTTACTCCGGACTACACGGAGCCACAACCAACGGCTAACGGACCGGATGAGGATATGGATAACGGACCTCCGGGAAGCTTTCCCTCTGGAGAGGAACCCGGTAACGGACCTAACGGAGAAGATAGAGACGTAGATCTTGATGAAGAAGATCAGCCTATGCCTCCTCCACTTCCTCCTCCGGATAATCCTCCGGGAAGCGGTCCTTCCGGATCGGTACCCGTGAGTCAGCCGTCCGTTCAGCCGGCAGTTGTTATCGACGAGGAAATGCCGTTAGAGTACCATGAGGAACCGGGACCGCCGCGTCCACCTCCGGACGCGCCGGGACCGCCGGAGTACGCGAACCCGGACGTGCCGATGAATGTTCCGGCAATTCCGGAGATTCCTCCTCATCGGGACTTTCCGTTGCGGCCGGCGCGGCAACCGCCGTCGCCGAGATGGCCGGCACCGGTACGGCATTTTCCGCAAGATAATCATCCGAAGGCTAAGAGCCGTATGGATCCGTGAGAGTGGATGAGACTTCCGTCAACGCCGATGAAGATTCCGCCTCCGGGAATGCTTCTTCCGGGGCAACCAGCTGTTCCGGTGAAAAAGAAAGTTGATTCTCCGGGGGAACCTCCGGCACCTAGTGAGCCCGCGTCGTCATCAAACTCGCGGCCGGGTCTTCCGGTGACGGAAGGTGAATTTCCGATTCAGCCTACGGAAGTTCCGCAAGGAGATCCGGGGCCGGCTATTCCGGATGCGGACTCCGATACGGACTCCGACGCCACCCGTGACTACGGAGAGTCGCAGTTCTCGACGTTAGATTACGGGATTGGTGACATCCTTCTCTCCGTTCCTGACGGTACCAAAGTTCCAGAGTGGGCTACCTTTGACGGTGATGCTTTTGAGTCCTGGTTGACGAAACAGGATAAGTTGAAGGCTGGCATTATTACCGCTGAAATGGCGCGTAAGTATGCCAAAGAGATCCGGCAAGCCAAGTTGGAGGAGTTCCACTCTTACCTTGACAATGACGCTGTCCGTTTAACGGATCGTCGTAAACTCGCGGCCGACGTGAATTATCTCACGGGCCGTTGGGTCTTGACCGTCAAGGTTGACAAGAACGGGAAGTTCCAGAAGTTCAAGGCCCGTTGGGTCTGTAGAGGCTTCCAGGACCGTCACGGATGGGAACAACAGACGGATTCTCCCACGGCTACTCGCTATGGATTCCGTCTGGTTTGTCAGCATGCCGCTGATCACCTATGGGATTTGCTTCATTTGGACCTTAAAACTGCGTTTCTTCAGGGGGAACACTACAATTTGTCGCAACGAACGGTTGTTGTACAACTTCCCAACGACATCGGTCTGCCTCCTTGGATGGTCGGGCTCTGTATGAGACCCGTCTATGGCCTCAACGATGCCCCTAGGCGTTGGTGGAATCGACTTGACAAGTTCCTGAGAGCCATAGGCCTCGAGCCTACAAGGGCAGACAGGTGCACATACGTGTGCTACCAAGGCACTGAAGGCAAAAATGTGAAGATCAATGCTTCCAAACTTGCCTCTCATGACTCAAGCTTCTCCTCAGAGGAGGTAGAGTCAGAGACAGTGCCCCAGAACTCAAGCTTCTCCTCAGAGAAGGTAGAGTCCTTGTTGGGATCGTTGCTTCATGGTGAAGAACCTCCGTTGACCTTCGACCAGACGAAGGTGAGGTCCAATCCAGAAGTAGAACAGTCTTTGAAGGCTTCCACCGCAAAAGGGCTCATTGATTATGCCTGGAGACCTGTGGTGGACAAAGAACTCTTATCCTTCCTTGAGGAAAAGGGTCTTAAGGACAAAGGCTGGTTCCCTTTCTTAGGTGGTCATGCTAATGTTGCTCATCGTGCCAAGGCTCTTCGCAGTCCGGAACCCAGTTACCGTATTAAGGATTTTCCTTTTCGTATCTCTTTTGTCTTTCGCCAAGGTACCTGGTGGGTTCTGGAAAGAGCCACAGACTTGAGGATTGAGAACAAGCCAGTTTTCCTGGAGGAAGAAGCTGCGATTCTGGTCTCTCTGTTCCTACCAGAGAAGAAGGCTTATGCCACAGACCAGACTCCACAGCTGACTCCAGAGTTGGTTGATGAGTTGCTTGAACACTTTGTTGACCAGTGCATGGCAGCAACAGCAAAGGTCGATTGTCTGTTGGTTGCCTGAGTCTTCATGTGGACGATCTCATCATTACCGGTTCTCCCAAGTTTTTGTCTTGGTTCCTTGAGTCTATCAAGAAGCACTTTACAGTAGGGCACGAAGATCGCAACGACCTCATGTTCACAGGACAAAGGGTGAAATGGATCTTTGATGAGAAAGGTAACAAGAAGTACATTTCCATTGACCAGTCCTTGAATGTTTCTGAACTTGAGGAGATTGTGATTCCTAAGAACCTGAAGGACGATGTTAAGTGTGACAAGGCCCTGCATACTTCTTATCGTTCACTCCTTGGCAGTATCAATTGGTTGCAGTCTCGAACTCAGTTTCAGGCTTGCTACAGGTTTTCTCGTTTAGCTTCAGCTAGCGCGTCACCTACCATAGGAAACTGCAAGGAACTGAACAAGCTCTGTAGGTCGATCAAGCAGGAACCCGCGGACATGAGAATCTGGCCTCTTAAGAGTAAACCTAGAATCCTAGGTATCCCTGACGCTGCCTTTCGTAACAACTCGGATAAATCCTCCCAGCGTGCTATGACCATCTTCATGGCCGATGACCGGGTGAAGGGAAAGCGGGATACTAGGGGATCTCTGGTTTTCTTTGAGAGCACCAAAATCAAACGTACTACTCTCAGTACTACGGTAGCTGAGTTGTACGCGTTGATGAAGTGCTTCGGCACTTGCCAGATGCTCCGGGGTCTCTGGAAAGACATTACAGGCTCGACGCTGAGATACACATCCGGACTGATGCTAACAACCTTGTTAGCACAGCCTCCACGACACACATTCCGGAGCAACAGGAGACCATTCATATGATTCAAATGCTCCGGAAGGAGGCTTGCTCAGGTGCCATTTCGGATTTGTCTCACGTCCGTACTGAACGCTGTCTTTCAGCTTGTCTTACCAAACAGTCCGCCAATCCTAAAAACCTCTTAGACTCAGTCAAGAATGGTTGGTTGAAGGAGATTGATTCGCATCCTCCTTTTCGGACTCTTTTGGAACACAAAGCCTTTCTGAACGCCTGGCTCAAGGATGAGTTTGCGGGATTTTCATGTCTTTCACAGCCATGTTTCCTGCTTGAGTCCTTGTGCTAGGGTTTGCAGTGCATTTGCAGTTGTGCATGCTCATGTTGCCGCAGGATCGCATGTGCATGCCTCTGACACGAGCTTAGGGCTCTTTTTAAATTTGTGCCTGCAAACTACAAGCGTTGAAGTTGCTTGCGTCCGCAATCTTTTCCTCTCAAGACCTTGCCACGTATCTACCCAAGCGAAGAAGATAGGCAGGTCAGGAGCAATGGCACGGTTCGACGCAAGGACTTCCCAACAGATGCCTAGTCAGCAGAAGTTTTCCACCTACGCTGCGTTGGTGGAGCAGACTACAATGCATGGGAAGCCCTGGGCCTCGTACGCGTCCTTCAGCCATAGCGGTAATTGGCAGAACCGCCTGATGCTCCTCAGTAAGGAAAAATACGATGAGAACAAAGGGTACGACCGGAAGCTTCCTTTCGGGGGAGGAACCGGCGTATTCAACAGGATAGGAGACAGATCCTATGAAGGGATTCCGAATCTCCAACTCATCCGTGTTTTCGACCAGACTCTCATCGAGGGTCAACTCACGATGATCCATGTGTACCGTGAGAATGCGAGATTCGGTACACAGTTGAGCACGACACAGGCCTGGAAATACGATTTTGTCAGAGCTTGCCTTGGCTGTCTCTCAAGACAGGAAATTGATACTCTGGCAAATCTTGTTAAGATCGAGGCGGCATACAATGCGAAGCCTAACTCGTTCTCAAACAAGAATTCCAGGCATTATTCGTGGCTCCTCCGGCACGAAATCGAGCGAGAACTGATGGATCCCCAGGACCACACAGTCGAGATCGAAGATATCGAGAGGACTGGTGGTAATGGGACTCCCTATCGCTAAAAGCCGCTGAACTTTCTGGCTTTCCTCCTTGGAAATTCCAAGGGTCGGATGAGTATCACAATCCGGCCAAGGTTGGTCTGGTTTGAGAATCTCTCCAAATGGGATCTTGAAGTGCGTGTAGGTTGCACCCAGGGTCACACCAGGGTTTCGCCTACGGCTGATGTGACCTCACTTGGTGAGGAAATCACAGCCAGCACAGCCGCTCAGTACGGCAGTGTCTTTCACGCCACTACGGTGGACAATTATCAGCCCATCCGCAATGATGGCCTCAGGTTAGACGCTGTCCGTAAGGATCCCAACCTTGAAAGCCGCATGGCCATCCACTTCAGCTACATTGGTGGGACTGCCGCTCCTGGTCCGGGGACAGTTATGAGGAAAGGTGACAACATCTTCTATTGCATCCTTGATGTGGAATCTTTCCTATCTTATGGAAGCAATCGGTTGTTCATCAGTCGCAATGGCGTTATCCTTAGTCCTACGGATGTCCCAGCCATGTTTTTGAAGTTCACCACCAAGGTCCCACAAGGTGAGCCATTTTCAGCCATCACTACAAGCATGGGAAGCTTTCTCTCAGGAAAGGAACCCAGTGCTAGTGGAAAAGGAAGCTTTCCCTCAGGAAAGGAACCTAAGGCTGGAAAAGGACAAAGTGCTGGTGGCAAAACTGGAAGCTTTCCCTCAGGAAAGGTACCAGAGACATACACAGGTTCAGTTCCTTTAAGTCTTTAAGTGGACAAAACCTGGAAGGGACACGAAATGCTGAGGGAGTTCTTTACAAGAGTCCTCCTCACAGTGCCTACTCTCAGAGGCCGTGTCCTCCACCAGCAGGTCCAAGAGTGGTGAAACAAAAGGCCATGCCGAAGAAGCCGACTCAGCCAAAGGCCTCAATCTCTGCACCAGTTCGTCCAGAGCGTACATTTTCAGAGGTTGTGTCTGGTGCAGGCTCGAGCTCAGATCGCAAGGCGGAAAGCGGTCCCTCAGGATCGGTATCCGCTGATGTTTCCATGACTGCTCCTCGTGAAGTTGTGGAGTTTTCTGAGCAAGAGCTTCGCGAACTCATCGAGCAGGATGAGGCCCGAAGGGTAGCCGCAGAGATTCTGGGCAAGTCAAGATCAGCCCAGTTGGCGTCCGAGGAAGAAGAGGTCCATGTCACTTATGTGCATGAGGTCTGGGACGCAGAGTGGGTTTCCAGGGTGTCTTCGAACCCCTGGTTCCTTCTCGATCGCGGCATTCTGCAATTGCAGGACACTAATGGCCAAGTCCAGAAGAGCGCATACGGTGATCCAATGATTGCTGTGACGCCATACTGTCGCCTTAGTGAAGCCCTTCGTGAGTCGTGCAGCGAAGATCCCACGAAGTGGATCCAAAATCCATTGTCAGGGTATCCCGTCTTTTTCTTCACTGAAGCCTGGAGGCATGGGAAGATCATGGGTACCCTGCATGCCGAGCAGAATCTCAAGACGAAGTTCTTGGCAGTGATCAAGCACGTCTCTCCTATTCCAGATCTTGCGCAGATCATGGAGGTGTACGCTGCCTTCCTTCAACATGAAACTGCTCGGTGGTGGATGCAAGCGGTCCGCAAGTACGTTAAGTGGGAAGTTGGTTTTCCAAATTTGCCGGAGATGGTGCCAGAGATTCCTCACATAGACGACGTCGCTTACGACGAAAAGATGAGGTTGTACTCTGAGTACCAGGATCTCAAGCGAAAACACGAAGAGTTGAAAAACATAGTCACTGATTTTGACAACCTCCTGGATATGTTTCGTGATCTCCTTGGCAGAGAGTTTCTTGGATACTGTTTGTCTCATGAAGAAGAAGGTGATGAAGATGAAACCTGGAGACAACAGTTTACAGCGAGCATTCATTCTGATGCAATGGATCCAACGTCAAATAGCATTCCGCTGACCAATTGTTCGCTCAACATGCTTTTCGAACATGCTCTTGCGTTGCGGAAATATGAGGCGGTGGTTCGTTTAGAACCCGACAGAGCCTTCCGCTCACAGTTCGCCCTCAAGGCCTTGCAGGACCTCAAGGACTATGTCGGCTACAAGGCGGCATCCCAGGCAAAGTTGGATGAACTTTTAGGGATTCCACTTCAAGATCACATTCTCGAGGAGCACCTCGAAATGCTGCCTGGGCCAACTCTTGAGGAACTGGAAGAGGTCATGGCTAATCCTCCAGAACTTGACTTGAAAGGGAAAAGCGGTCTCTCAGGATCGGTATTCCTTGAAGTCAAAAAGGAGGAGCCTGATTATGATGATGACGGAAGCAGTCCCATGAATCAGATGAGGCGCGAGCCACGGCGAACATTGAAGAGCCGAAGTTGTTGAGTGTACAGCCAGAAACAAAAGTCCAAGGCGAGATCCAAAGGATTGATGAGCCAAGAGCATCCACCAAGGTAGAGCCACAAGAGTCAACGCCCATGGATGTCGACTCAGAAGGAAGCTTTCCCTCAGGAAAGGTACCTTTGGCATCTTTGGGAAAAACAGAAAGCGGTCCCTCAGGATCGGTGTCTGCTAAACCTGAGAAATTTCCTCAGGGTGTCTGCCCTTCAAGGACCTCACCCCAAGCCCAGGCACCCAGCCCGCCCCAGGCCTCCCAGACCCCCCCATTCCAAACTTCACCAGAAAACAAGGGCTCTCAAAGGCATCCAGAAACTTATCCTCTCATCTTAAGATGGGAATCAAGGTGGGAATTGAGGGCGGCAGCCGTAAACCCTAAAAGGAAATGGTTTGGGTGGTGGCCTGTGAAAGCTCACGGCGGGTGGGAAAATCAACCTAACACCAATAGAATATGTTGGATCAGGGGTATCTGTATGCCGGCTTTTTGGCCCCGAACGACTTGGCAGCGCCACGCGGCGCCAATTTGCACAGTTTTTGACGATGTGCCAGCCATCTGGTCCCATGTGGGCCTCAAAAACTTTGCCCAATTTTTGTTTAAGGCTTTCGCCTGATGTGCCAGATTCGTGGAAATTTAAGCGCGCGCAAAAAAACTTGACTGGCACATAAAAGTCATTTTCAACATGCCAGGTATTCGGAAACTCCAATACGTCTGTTACTATTATTATTTCTAAAATGGAACGAGAACTCGGAGCTATCGACGGTCATGGTCGATGTGGCAGCAACATGAATCCAGACTGTCACGGTGCTGACTTCGGCACCCTGCCTGCTGCATACCGAGTGATTTGGGCAGCGCGCATCCCTGAAACGTGAACCCTAAACCCTAAACCCTAAACCCTCCTTCACTGAAAAGTGGGCAGAGGCTGTGGCGATTGGTGTGTCATAGGCCTGGTAAACGGCCAGGGCAGCCCAAAGTGGGGCCGCAGGATGGATCACAGTTTAGGGTTTAGGGTTTAATCTCTTCCCCCTTATATTAAACCCCCTAATATTAAATATGTTTTCGGGGGAACCCATTTTTCAAAAATTCTCCGGAAGACTACTTTTAATTGCCGAAGATTACACTTAATTGCGACCCCTACCTGTCGATTTGGGGGGGTTTCAAGACATATCAACGATTTTTTGACTGGCTCCGGAAACCGGCGATTCGAAGATTACACATGTACTACAACTCAACGATTTTCCCTGTTCCGGGAAACGGTGATTCCAAGACTACACATGTACTACTTATCCACGATAATTTTCCGGAGAGCTCCGGACTGCAAGAGTTCAGAGCTCCTTTTAGGGGATTTCTGAAAATACACCCCCCCCTAATATTAAATATGTTTTTCGCCGGAGGCGGGCTTTCATATTTGGGGTGGGGGGGGACGTTTATTAGGGGGAAACGATTATAGGGTTTAGGGTTTAGGGCGAGATGGGCTGCAAAAATTTGAGACCCCTGCACCAAACAGCCGTATCATCGTGTCTGGCTCTCTGGCGATGTACGTGGCCCACGAGATGTTCACTGCTCAGCATTTCCAGCATGCACCAGTTTTGGTCAGTCAGATGGCAGAACTTGTCTGCCCGAGGGCATGTGAAGAGATGGAATTGCCAGTTTCAATTTGCACTGCAAGTGTTTCGCAGAGGTCGA